GCTGGGGCTGGGCCTCGGATGGCAGTGGATGCAAGCAGCAACAAGCCTCAACTGGACAGTGAGAGAAGAGCCTGCCAGGATGCTAGGCAAGGATGGATAAGAAGTCACACCAGAGGAAAACTCCCCATTTTTCATAGTTTTTAAACAAAAATAATATTGCTCCCAGTGTATTACTTTACTTTTGCTTTGTTATTGTTAAAAGTGATTGACAGGCCTCTTCCAGCTTTGCTTTGTGGCTTTGGATGATTCATTAAACCCTTCTTTGCCTTGTTTTCCCTTCTTGTATAAAGCAGAAAGTTCCACAGAAACTCCGTTAATGGCTGTGTGTGCTTCCTGCCCTTCCCTCTGAAGCTGCCATCCCACAGAGGAGCAGCAAGTCAACAGAAACGTGCCCATGGCTCTGCTGGCCCCACATCTCTTGCTATGAGGCTTCCAATCGCCTCTGTATTACTGTGTGTTTGAACAAGGCTGTGCAGGAAATGTTTTTTCCCAGCTAGAGAAACATTTTGTTCCCATTCTGTGTTTGAGCCAAATGGGGTTTTCTTGAGGCCTTTTTGCTGGCTTTTTCAAAACAAAGGAATAAGTAAGCAAACATGTCTGCAAGAAGCTGAGCGAAACAGCCAAAGGACAGCCAGTGGACTTGTTGAACAGAGGACTCCTGCAAGACATGACAGTGCAGTTTTCTGACCTAATTCAGGCTAGCATCTTAAAACCAGACCTTGCACACACAGGAGATGACCAAGTTGCAGGCAAGGCTGGGATGGTGCTCTCTGTCCCTAGAAACTGCATCCCTAGCAGAAGTTATTCCAAACTGAGACATCTCACAGCAGGTTTCTGTTTTGATAACATGCCATCCTGCAGTAAAAAAATATTTTCATCACAAAGTACCCCGCCCTGTTTTCTCACAGACTGCCAGCGTTAACTTGTCTTTAGATTCCCAAGGTACTGGAGGATGTGTGTCCCTAAAATACAGCCTGACCAGATTGTGGAGGGAAGCACACCCAGTGATGGCTTTGCAGCTCTCCTCAGGATTAAGCCAATGCTACCATCTGTGTGAGGGGATGTGGGACTGGGGATGGACTACGTACTCCAGGAAGTGATGGTTTTAATTCTTTTTACTGGCTTAGGGACCCACATGTAGCCAGCACCTTGACTGTCTTGGAGGTCAGCATATGCCTCCAAGGCACCCTGTACATCAAATAATAGCTGAATTCATGGGATGTGCACTGTTTTATCCCAGAATAATGCAGTAAACTGCAAGGCACATTTGCAATGTCCTGCCTGTTTCCATCACCTCTTCTGAGAGCTTGGACTTGCAGGACGTGGAAAGCTGTCCATCCAAAAAGTGCTCTAGGTCCTCTCAGGAAAATGATAAAGAACTCCTTGATACAGCACACTGCAATGAAAATCTATTGGCCTGCCAACTCACTGTCCTTAAATGTAGTCACTACCCTTCCCCTATCCTACCAAAGATCACTAACACAGAAAAGCATCTTTCAATCCATTGTCATGTTCTGCTTGCTTCTCTTTCTGCAGGCAAAGCTCAGCTCTGGAAGTCCAAGCCAGCGCTCACCAGCATAGCACACAGCTGTGAACACCAGCTCTCTCCAACTGAAAGGGCAAGAGCTGCTCTGGAGAACATCTCCATTTTGCAGAACATGCCTCTGCTCAGGACCCTTTCCCTCAAGCAATAGGAAAAGCTGTCTTTGTGTCGAAGTGCCTCCACCTGAAGACACAGGGCAGAATTAGCCATCTCAGATTTAGGCTTACAGGCTAAACTTGTCTCTTCCCTCTGCTTTTGTTGAGGGAGGCAAACTGGCACCTGCCTGTGAAGGTTTGTAAAACAGAGGTTCGCACGGAGGGGATGAGTCAGAAGAGCCTATCTCTGCAGTCACTAAGCAGGGCAGCCTAGATAACTAGCCCAGATCAGACACCTACCGTTCGCCCAGCTGTGTTTAGGTTAGACACCTTTTACCTTTGGCTAAGGCTAAACCCAGCACGCAGTGGAGGACGCAATTCCAGGCCCCCGCTCTGCTCAACAGCCATTCCCTCTGCTGCGCTTCCTAGGTATGTGCTTACTTCTAACGGGCACCAACAGAGGAGCAAGACAAAGTGAAGGAGCACCCAGTTCTGGTATCGACCCCCTCCATGTTGATAAAAGGGAATAATTCATGTAATCCTCTAAGTCAGGCCGATGCCGTAAAGGATGGGAGATACTCCAAGGGACAGCCGGGAAAGTCCCTAGGTCAGTCTCTGGTTAATGCAGGTCTCACAGACTGCACTGCCTTGGTCCTATAAAACACACAGTGCTTCACGGTGCACGAGGCCATAGCTCTGGTATGCTGGTCAGCTTCTTACAGGTTATTGCTTTCCATCCCAGTTGTCTAGTATTTCCACCAGACACATCTTCACTTCCTTATTATTATTTTATTTAGTTATGGTCATACTGATACAACTGCCAGGAGCCTTTGCAAAGCTAAAAGCATTTTGTTAGGAAGTGAAATTACCTTTTCTAGCCCTACTTCAATTCCCATGAATATTGTGAGGCTAAGATATTTGGAAGTATTAATAGGGTGCTTTGAGTTCCTCGGATGGAATAACTGTGACGGCAAAACAAGTTGCACTATTACAAAGAGGTTCTAGTCCAGTTAGCAAATCCCTTTTCCCATCTGTCCGAACAGAACATGCAGTTGTCTTAGGGAAGTCTGCTATGTGTTGGAAAAGCTCTAACAGGTTTCTACAGGCATATGAAGATGCTGAGGAACAAAATGTGACATTCTCACAACCGTATTTTTGATTTTTAATATTCTGAGGATAAAATATATATAAAAATAAAGAACTAAAAATAGTTCCCAAGACCATTTGGCCAGGTTCTCACACTGAATTCCTTGTGAAACTACATAATATAGGCATTTAATCTCTATTGAAAGATCAATTAAGTTTATCAACCAATAAAATATTATCTGGGTCATTACACAAATACAACATGATTGGCTAGTAGCTGGTCAGTAACCTCCAATGAATTGTCAAACACTTCCCTGTAAATGAAAAATAAACTACAGTTTTATTATTAAGTTAGATTTTTCATTCTTCAGTTAATCTTCCTATAAGAATGGTCTTTACTATTATCCAAAACTATTTAGAAGTCCACTACTACAACACTGATCTAGAGGAAGGTGTATGTTGTAAAAATTAATTTTAGGCACAGAAAATGCATCTGTCATCTTAAGAATGATCTGGGCATTTATATGAAAATTTAAAAAGCAGTAACTGGTGACATCATGTGATGCTGAGAAGAGTGTTCCTGATTTGACAGTGCATGAGAAATGATGCTTCTTGTTCATAAAACTGGAAATATCTGGGGCTATTCTGTGTTCAATTTATTGTTTGAATTTGGGACATTTCTATGCCAGGCATCAATTCTGATCTTTTGATGTGCCCATTTTCCTTGCAGGGTACCATATGGATTTGTAACTCACAGAACCGTACTTATGTCTCACTTTGCTCCAGGGCATTTTAACATAGCTTACATAGTTGTTTCATGCATTAAGAATTTAGAAGTATTCTAAAAAGAGGCGTGAAAAACTTCATAATACCCTGACCACAGTTCAGCTGCACTAAACCCCTCGATATACATACAGTGTAAGGACTAATGCACCTGCTATCTTTCTCCTTTTGAAAACAAACTGAGCAAGAGTAACAAAAAAATGCAAACAAACCCCATCGTTTGGCCATGGGGACTGACAGTGCTGTACTGTAAGGCAGTAAGAGGTCATTTAACCCCAGTGTCTCATTTGTGGCAGTATTGGGAATGACAATCTGTGCAGGCGGCTGTAGAGCTTCCCCTCCACTCTCTCATTATCAGTATAGTGCAATGGTTTGTGTATGTTAAAAGCCATACAACTGCTGTGTGCATTGCAATAGCACAGAATATCCCCCTCCCTCTCACCTGAGTGCCGGCTTCATTTCCAGAAGTGCCCCTTACATGCACCGGGACATTTCCCAGGACACCTGGCACTAGCTAAGCACAGTTTCTAACGCTCACAGCTGAGGCTGCACTGGCCCAGGAGCCACCTGTGGCTGAAGGAGCAGCACTGAACCAGGAGAAGACTGTGCTCTTCCAGGGAGGAAGCAAAAGGGGAAGCTATCTGCACGTCCCCTGCCAAAACCACGCTGTCCCCCACCCTCTCAGGACTCCTCACCCCTGCTGAAATCCTGCCTGGCACGGCAAGAGCAAGGGCGTGCGGACAGGCTGGAAGCCTCAATGCGTGGGTGCATCTGTCTACACCCAAGAGCCTGGAGATAATGCTCAGGTGACACAGAAGCAGCTGCTATGAGAAACCCACGAGAGATCAGGGAGGCAGCTGTGCTGTATAAATAATACCACCATTAGGGTTGACTGAAATATCCTATTCAAACAAGAAACTTTCTCCGTGCACCAAGAACAAGGGATGCATAGCAGTGGCTGCTGCAAGAAGGGAGGCAGCAGGGCAGGGAGGATGGAGATGGCATTCCAGCAGGATACGCTGAGCAGCATAAAGAGAAACCCAAACTGCTAAATAAGGAAGGAAAAGGGGGTAAAGACAGTGCTCCTGCAAGAGAGCCTGTTTCTCAGACTGTATCCCTCTGTGCTCCCCTTCCCTGTGCCCCGGAGCCGGGAGGGAGATGCCCACACTCTTGCCACCCTTCTGCCTTTGGGGGAAGCGGGGACAGGACTGGGGGAAGTTGTTGCCACCTGATGATGCTCATGCAGCTCCGGCTTTGCAGGGACAAGCGATGCTGGGAGGCAGCGGGGGACAACTCATCTCATTTCTTTGCCCCATCTCAGGCAGCAGCAGCAGCAACAGGAAATCCAGGAGCTCTGTGAAATGACAGGGAGGGAGAGAGAGAGAGTGAAGTCCCTTGCCTCGGCTAGTGACGTCTCTCCTTCCTCCTTTTTTTTTTTTTCCCTGTCCCTATAAAGAATCTCGGGCTTGAATCAAACTTCCCAGTGAAAGCAAACCAAACTGAGGGGTGGGGGAAAAGGGAGAGAGAAACACCCAAGGCGGGATCTGGCCATGCCCAAGCCCAGCTGCCTGCCGGCTGCTCACGCCGGGTGCTGTGGGGTGCCCCCCGGCAGGTAGCCAGGCGGGGGGACCTGCAAGCTCCCTCTCCTCCTGCCTCCCAAAACTCGCTGAAGTTGAGAGATTTGTTCTTCCTCCTGATCTCTGCAGCACCTGCACCTCTCTGGATAAATACATCTAAGAGGAGGCTTTTCGGTTCATCCACCTTATCCCAAACTCCAGGCAAAGGACTGCTCGGAGCAGCGACTGACTGACTGGAGGAAACTTTTTGCCAAACTTTTCTGGTGCTTTGCTCTGCTCTTTTAACCCCTTGAGTTACTTTGCATCACACAGGAGGGCTGGGGAGCCTTCTCTTGGGCAGAGTAACGCTCCCTTCCAGGCACCGCCTGAATCGGAAAAGCAGGAGGGAAAGAGGAATAAAGTTATTGTGAAAAGGAGGAGGGGGGGGAAATCCCCAAAAGCTTGCACCTCAAGAAGAAAGGAAGGACAACAAAACCTGCAGCCCAAGGATGAAGCAGTGAATGGAAAGAACACTTTAACTGGGATCAACAAGTGGGAATTTCTGCACGCCACGCTCGTCCCCTCCCCTCCCGCTCCAGCCCGGCGGGCTGTCAGAAACTTGTGGCTGGCAAGAAAACTTGTCCCCGTTGGCGGAACCTCTCCTCCCGCGCCTCTCAAGGGATATAGCAGTGACCGCACCGGCGATGGTCCCCAGGCCGAGCGCCGCCCTGGCTCTCTACGCCCTTCAGGGGCTGCTCCTGATGCACGGTAAGACCCGCTCACACCTGGGTTTGCTCCTTCTCCTCCCCCGGGGCTCAGTAACGGGAGGGCGGCGGGACCCGCCGTTCTCCCACCTGCGCCACCCCCGCGAGCCGCGCTGCCGGTCCCGCCGTGCCTCGGGTGGGTCCCGCCGGGTCCCTGTGGGCCGGTCCCGGTCCCTTGAGGCCGGTCCGGCCGGGTCCTTTTGGGCCGGTCCCGGTCCTCTCAGGCCGGTCCCGCCGGGTCCCTGTGGGCCGGTCCCGGTCCCCTCAGGCCGGTCCCGGTCCCCTCAGGCCGGTCCGGCCGGGTCCCTGTGGGCCGGTCCCGGTCCTCTCAGGCCGGTCCCGCCGGGTCCCTGTGGGCCGGTCCCGGTCCCCTCAGGCCGGTCCGGCCGGGTCCCTGTGGGCCGGTCCCGGTCCCCTCAGGCCGGTCCGGCCGGGTCCCTGTGGGCCGGTCCCGGTCCTCTCAGGCCGGTCCCGCCGGGTCCCTGTGGGCCGGTCCCGGTCCCCTCAGGCCGGTCCGGCCGGGTCCCTGTGGGCCGGTCCCGGTCCCCTCAGGCCGGTCCGGCCGGGTCCCTGTGGGCCGGTCCCGGTCCCCTCAGGCCGGTCCGGCCGGGTCCCTGTGGGCCGGTCCCGGTCCCCTCAGGCCGGTCCCGCCGGGTCCCCTCAGGCCGGTCCCGCCGGGTCCCTTTGGGCCGGTCCCGGTCCCCTCAGGCCGGTCCCGCCGCGGTACCTCAGGCGAGGGCGCGCGGCGGGCGCTAGGTGGCGCCAGGCGCGGGGAGCGCGGCCGCCCCAACCCCCCCCCCCCCCCCCCCCCCCTCAGCTCTCGGGGTGCGGCGCGGGGTCCCCCCGGGGGTTCGACCCGCCTCTGCCCCGGGCACCCAGCGGGAAGGTGCCGCTTTTTTTTTTTTTTTTTTTTTTGGCTGCAAACTCGCCGACGTTTCGAGGCAGCTCTGGTTTTACACCTCCAAGGGGGCAGGGCTTCATGAAAAGAGGCTGGGAAATAAAGGAGGGGTTGTGTTGCGCTTAAAGGACGTGGAGCACCTCCCCTGTCCTGAGAGTTGGGGTGCTCAGGGGAGCCCTTCGAGCGGCCTCCCAGGGCTTAAAGGGGGGACAGGAAAGGTGGGGAGGGACTCTGGGTCAGGGGATGGGGATGGGATGAGGGGTGATGGGTGTTTAAACTGAAAGAGGATAGATTTAGATTAAATATAAGGCAGAAATTGTTCCCTGTGCGGGGGGTGAGGCGCTGGCCCAGGGTGCCCAGAGCAGCTGTGGCTGCCCCCTCCCTGGAAGGGTTCAAGGCCAGGTTGGACGGGGCTGGGAGCCCCCTGGGCTGGGGGAAGGGGGCCCTGCCCGGGGCAGGGGGGGGCACTGGGGGGGCTTTAGGGTCCCTTCCCACCCAAACCCTTCTATGATGACATTATTTTTTTAGCCCCTTGAGGCTTCAGCACTTGGTTAAAAATATCAGGCCCTTGCGTCATTTGGCCGCTCTGTCCCCAACACGGGAGTGTTTCGACCCTCCTTTGATCGTTTGAAGCGGACCTGAGGGAAAAAAAACGCTTCAAAACCAGGAGCTGTGGCATGTCAGGGAGTGCGGGGCACGATCTCACTTTCCTCGGGAGGGAACAGCGCTCATCTCAGAGCTCTGTGGGTACAGACATTGCGGGCAAACTCCTACCTTCTCTTGGATATTTCACTTCTTACTCATGTGATGTTTCTCCACTGTGTTCCCCCTCTCAGCCCAGATGCTAAGTTCAGTTCCCCATTTTCCAGCACTCATTTTACTCTGCTGCAAACGCACTCTCCTCCCTGGAGTTACTCCTGATTTTCACCAATATCAGAAAAGCCAAGAGGCAGGTTAATGAGATTTAGAAGAGCATTTCCATCTGCTGTATGACTTTTCATTATCTCATTAAGGATAAGGATTTGACTGGATTACCATGCTATTCATTCATGACACTGCAAATTGTTCAAGGGAGATGGTCTGTTATTTACTGGGGAATTCCTTCTGACAGTAATGAAGATTTTTTTTTGTGTGATAGTGAATGTATTTCATAGCACAGGACCATTGCTTCTTTAGCATAATCTTTTCCTAGTTTAATATCAAGAGGATAGCTTCTGGAATTGCTATGGCGCGTCACTGTCCTTGATTTTCTTGGATTCATTCAGGGATTTAATGTATTCCTTCTGCAGAAAGGAATTGATTGGCGAACACTAGCCCCAGTGAATCTCACATATCCCTTACAGCACCTTCCCCACAGTTACCTACAGAATAAACAGCTAAACCTGACATTCTATTCCAAAGGGCTTGTCCAACTTTCCCAAAAAAAACCTGAAGCAGCAAACCTTGTGGGTGAAAAGGAGCCCTTCCACCACAGAAACCCTAGCGATGGGCGGTAGCGGCGCCCAAGTTAACCCTGGGGAAGGCAGTCCCGCAGCACGCCGGCCCCGGCACCCACCCCCTGAGCTGCACCTGGAGCGGTGGAGGAAGCTCCTGCAGCCCTCGGAGAATTCCCGTAACGTGCTCCATCTGGCCGACACGTGCACGAGCAGCCAGCTGCACGCTACGTTAGCTTTAACGTCTGAATAATCTGGAAAAGCTGCCCGTAGAAGGGGAAGAAACCCAGTGTGAATTTCCCAAAGGCATAAATCACCACAGGCTTTCATGGATCAGAGGGAGTATTAGTGAGAAGGGAGAAAACGTGTCTTGCCACAAGTGTTCCTGAGGCTCCAGGATGAAGAGGAGCGTAGTGCAATTGTTACTGAGCAGGTGGGTGAACAGTCCAGTTAGAGATGCTACCCAGATTTCAGGGCTGACTTGAGTCTTTACTTATGAGGTTACTTTCCTAAGAATTTTGGTCCTAATGACTTTGGAATTTGGTCCAGATTCACTTTCCCATCAGTGCCAGGCAGAGAGAACGCAATGTCCGCATCCCGTGACAAAGGCAGGCAGGCACATTGCTAACAGTCCCTGTGGGCAAAGGCTGATGATGGAGCAGCATTATGGATGTCAGACCTTTGTCCATCATTAGGAAAAGATAATATGTTAGCACAGTCTCTGTGTGCCCTAATTAGGCTGGAAGCCAAACTGAAACAGGGCCAGGAGGTTGGAGGATTCTGGATAGCACTGATGTTATTGAGGTATTAGCTTCTCAGCCACCTTTCCCGTCAAGTTCATCTCCAGCAATGAATTCAGTGAAACTTTGGTTGATCTCCCAAGGCACAAGAGGCACAGATCTATTCCGGCGGCTGTAGGTTAAACCTTCTCTGTGATCAAAATTAGGCAGAGCTGCCCTGAAGAGGCTGACTCCGATTCAAATCCAAACAATTTCATCTGCAATGCAGATAGAAGATGTTACAACTGTGAAAGACATTCAGCACCTGAGGTGCTGAGTGAGGGCAGCGCAGGTGCCCAGCCGAGCGATACCTCCCGGCTCAGGACTTCCCAGGTGCCCCAGTGAAGAGAAGGTCTCTCGGCTCACACCGACCCTTAAAGAGGACTCTGAGCATCCTCTCCTTCTCTGCAACCGCCGTGTCATTGCCTCCTGCATGCTGCTCAGCAGCTGGCCAAGGCTGCCTAGGTGTGCCGTGGGCGCAAAAGGACAGAAAACTGTTAAATTCATCCAGATCAAAGGATGGTCTCCTTTCGAGAACTCTTAATTTATTTGGCGTTTTCAGTCCTTGTCGGTGCTTAGCAGGGGAAGAGGCCATGCAAACATCATCCCAATGAATTCCTGACTTATTATAAGCTTCAAAATATTTTTACATGTCTTTAAACTTCCTAAGACAGTTCTATAAGTATCATTAAATTTACACTTTCTTTTTGCTTATTACACAGCTTATGTTCAACTCCTTAGAGTACTAGTTAAGGTCTTCCTGCTCAGAACTTTTGATGTAGTAATTATTGTGGAAATGCCAACAGCTGGCACATGTTTTGGGTAACGAGTGGGTTGGTTAAAAAACAGACCTTTAAAAAACAATCTGCAAAGAATTTTTTACACTAGCAACACCTTATAACTTGCATGAAATTTTAGTATCTTTTACCTTCTGACATTATCATCAAAGTTTTTAGTATATGAGCTATCCAAATAACTTTTCATGTTTTGGAATAAACTCAGTAATTTAATACTGGAAAGCTAACAAGATTCAAGAATACAAATTAGGTCCTGCCTGATCACTTTGAAATTAAAGCAAGTTTGAAACAGAATTTTTTTTTTTTTGTCTCATTTTCCAACCTCTTCTACAAATAGAATATACTAGGATGGGCAATTTAGCTTGCCAACATATACATTTCAGTTATACCACGTAGCAGTAGCTAAGTCAAAAGCTTCAGGAGCTCAGACTCCTCCTGGTTTGCTGCCTAGGATGCTCCCGGCATAGGGCTGGGAAGACTGGGCTCAGTGGTGCACTGCTGCAAAGTCAGCGGCGTTAAGGATATGCTTTTGCCTTTCTCTGAGGCAGTGAGTGCTGGAAAGCTGAGGATTGGATAGCTGGCAATATGGGCTGTTGATCAATTCTAGTAAACCAAAAATGTGTCTCTTAATTGGTGTTATTCCTAACCATTTGCTTTACTGTGGGAAAATGTTATAAAAAGCAGAGAAGACTTTTTTAAGATTGTGATATATGAGCCTCCTGCCTGAAGCTGCCACATTCAAAACGAACTGGAAATCTCTTTACACTAATTCATCCATTTAAGGCAAGGAAAAAAATGTAAAGTATTTCTGAATACTCCCTGAACTTCTGAAAAACAGCATCATACCCAAAAGAGTACTGAGAATACAAACCAGATTGTTTGTTCAAGGTTTCTGTTACAAGAACTTACAATATTTTATTTAAAAATTTTAAAAAAATATTTATCTGTGCACATTTCCCCATTGGTCCACTAATACATATCAATCTAAATAAGAACAACGAGGTACATCGGAGTTATCTCTCGTTTCATACATTCTCTGAATTGTTCATTTTATGATGAAGTATTTATACAAAGCAATAGCTCAATCTACTTCAGTT